AATCCCCACTCTCCAATCTCTCTTTCCAATCTCTCTCTCCAATCTTTATCTCTCCAATCCCTCTCCCTCTCCCCGCTCTCTCTCTCCTGAGTCCGAAACTGACATCTATCAGCTGTCCGATGTGTGCTGAGTGTTCCTTTTGTTTTGGTTCTTGTCTGGAACTGGGCAAAGCCGGCTGCTGGGCTGAATGTACGAAGCGAGGAATTGCACATACAGACAGGGGGATGGGCTGGAAGGAGGCACAGGGGTCGAAAATCGCCCGGTGAGAGGCTGGCGAGGCGACTGCAGAGTTTGGATCCGTGCCTTTGTCCAGAGGCATACTAATGAGCAGGCAAGAAAGTTACAGAGGCCCGTAGATCATATTATGGAATGGCTTGCTTCTCTGCACTTCATTTATTTGGAGACTGCTTGCAGGCTGGCACTCTGCCAGCAGCCACCAAATCCAAGTCTACAGAAATCAATCTCTCGCTGACTGATTAAGCCGTGTTTAGAACTAATTGCTCCTTCGTGTGTGGGGAGAATAAATTATGGGCTTTCATCTCGGCATCTTTAAAATGCAATAGCAGGTAGGGCCTCAGCCGTTAACTCTTCCCATCCCGCAGTGCAGGAGACGACTTGGAAACCCCTTGACCGAAACAAAAAAGGAGGAAGCGGGGAGGGGGTGCCTTTCCCCCACCCCCCCATCCCACCAGCTGCAGCAGGGGAGAAGAGGTATGGGACGGTCCCTTGTACAGATGCTAGTTGGCTTGACTTGGTCTGCCCAAGAAGAGCAAGCAGTCCTTATGGGCTTCTCAAAAATGTATGGCAGGTAGCAAGGAAGATTTTTAATGAACCCCTTCCCCCAATAAGGTTGCTGTGGGGTCCCATTGGCCACAGAATAGTCCAGCTGGCGGGGTCCAGGGAGAGAGAGCACCTTTCCTGCTGTTGCACCTGCCCTTTGAAAAGCCCCTTCTCATCATATTCCCTTCTCCTTCCTTCCCTTTTAGCTAGGTTTATTCTTTTTATATATAGCATTATATTTGCCTTATTAGGTTTGACATCGTTTTATATTTTAATGTTGTAAGCTGCTCAGAGCTTCTACATGGTAAGATGGGCAGCTAATAAATTTTACAAATAAATAAACAGAGATCTTTTTACGTTCTACCATTTCTTTTTCTCTCCTTCTCCCTTTCTTTCTTTCCTTCTCTCCCTCCCTCCCTATCCCTCTCTCTCTCTCTCCATTTCTCTCTCTCTTCCCCCTCCCCTCCCTCTCTCCATTTCTTTCTCTCCTTCTCCCTTTCTTTCTCTCCCTCCCTCCCTATCCCTCTCTCTCTCCATTTCTCTCTCTCTCCCTCCCTCCCCCTCCCTCCTTCCATTTCTCTTTCTCTCCTTCTCCCTTTCTTTCTTTCTCTCTCTCTCTCTCCCTCCCTCCCTATCCCTCTCTCTCTCTCCATTTCTCTCTCTCTTCCTCCCTCCTCTCCCTCTCTCCATTTCTCTTTCTCTCCCCCCCACGCCCCACTCACACACACACAGTTGCTGGGCTCCAAACTCTGGGCACTAAGCTCCGACGCTGGGTCCAATCAATTCATCCACCTGATGCATGCTTCGAACCTTTCCGTTTCAAGACAGCAGCTACCTTCTCCTGTTTGGAGTTCTCTCCCTGGCTCCAATGCCATGCCCATCCTGGAAGTCTAGCCCAGGTTACGCCCCGCTTCTTCCCCCGGGCGCATCTGGGAATTGAGCAGGAATGCTGCAGTCCCGACGCGCCTGGAGGGATGCTTTTCCCCCATGGTGACCCAGGAGAGCAGAGCCGTTTTCAACCCAACCAGAGAAGAGAGTGAACAAGATCAAGATTGGCTGCCTCTCTTTAAAAATAAGACTGTCCCCCCCCCCCCTTTTTTTTTTCCTGAACTTGTTGCTTTTGAAAACGGTTAGAAGGGACACGGTTGAGGGAAGTAGAAGAATAGTAAGACAACAGGTGAGACGGAGAGGGTGGATCAAAGACATTGCAAGCCATCCTTGGAAAAACAAGGAGATATTATCAAAGAGGGTCAACATTCATTCGTGGGAGAGTGGAGTCTGTCTCTGTCATAAAGCTGCACAGATCAACCTTTTTCCAATCTTCCCCTGGAGGTATATTGTGTTTCTTATTCTATTTCAATGGCAACGGTGGTGGCAAAACTCTACAAATAGTCCTTGACTTAGAACCATTCGTTTAGCAACCATTCTAAGTTTCAGTGGCACTGAAAAAAGGTTGTTTACAACCACCAACACCCTTGTACTCATGAGGGTCACAGCATCCCCACGGACACATGAGCAACATTCAGGCACTTGCCAACCAGCAGGTATGTCATGCCCCTGTCGGAATCTGATTTGGAGGGGGAGGCCAAGCAGCTGACAGGGAGTGGGAGTGTGGCTCCCTTGGTTGTGGAAGAAACTGGGGAAGGGCACAGTCCAGCTGGGAAGAGCAGGGGAGAGGTAGAGCAAGGGAGAGGGAATTCAGAGAAAGATCCAGGCCCAACCCCTCGTCATCCTAGGGCACGCAGAGAAGAACGGAGAA